ATAAACACTCATTTCACTGGATATAAGTCTACATACAATTTCTAGTTACTTCACATTAGCCCCAAATTATTCTGCTTAGACAAAAATTTCTGGTTACACACGCATGCACATACACATACTATGTAGATAGATAAATGGATATTTGGATAGATAAGGAAGGAAGAATTATAACCCAGCTTTAGAAAGTCTGTCAAAAAGTGGCTGGCCCTTTATGTGAACCAGCTCATTTTCTATTCTAATTGTAACATAAATTTAATGCCGTGAGAGTAAAATAAATGCAGTACTAAAGTTTGGAATGAGAAAAAAATTGTAAAAAGTTGGACAGGACTGAATGTTAGTTCTTTTTAAATTTTGTGAATACTTTTTTTTTTAACTGACCATTTATATTGTCAATTGCATTAAAAATTGGCATAAAATTATTAAAGTAATATATTGTAACCACAGCTTACAGTATCCAGTTGATCCTTGAAAATCCTTCCTATGTTTGTTTTTTGAATACCACACAAGGTTTTTTTCCTCTTATTTTTTAACACAGTGGAATCATTGACGGAAGAAAGAAATTAATACTTGTATTTCTCAAAAGATTGACATTCTTAAGTTCAGTTGTAATTCTCAGATGCTCTGAAGAGCCTTAGAGTTTCATCAAGAGCTTTGCAAGTTACCCCAGGAACCTCTCTAAGTAGTTAAACATTCTGTCATCAGGTTGCCCTTAAAACAACAACAACACAAAAGTAAAAAAAGCATTTACTTCTGTCGGTGTGTTTTTAAAAGTCAAAAGAAATAAAGCAGTTTCACAGTCTGTGTCAGGTTGGTCCTTTAATTTAGATTTCCCCTTATTTTTGCAGATACTTAAAGCTTCAAACAGACCGCCCCTACTACCCCAGGAGGACCAGCCTAACCAAACGCTCCAAAAGATGTCTGTGATAGATCTTGTGAAGTAATTACTGAGCAGATCAAGATCTTTGCGAGTGAACACTAAAGATGTTTGAATCGTAGTCCACTGGCATTTTAGTGTATTTTTTTATAAAACAAAAGTTATATGTAATGTTACATTCCTGCATGTCCTTTTCTGATAGCATTAGTGACTCCATTATATTTCTTTTCTCCTGATTTTTATTTTTATTTTTAGTGACACATCTTCTCGTCTTATATTAATGTGGGTTTTTCAGGCAACATTTAATAACTGATGATGTAGCAGCAGTTGTCTTGGCAGGGTTTTAATATATTATTAGGAATTACCACTAATTGTGTTGTACTGATGTGCAAACTGCATTAAACGGGATTTAAATGCATTAGGCCTACCTTGCCTTAGCATCCTTAAAAACACTAATAGAGGTCATTAGTAGCTGTGAAGATTTGAGTTGTATATATCTGTACTTGATATTCTTAAAAAATAAAGTCTATAGCAGCTTCAAGTATTCAGGGTAAAACTCAAAATTTGAGATTCCTATAGCTTTTAGCTCATTAGATAGGAAAAAATTAATATTTCAATGAAAGATTTAAATTATTATGGTTAATTTATTTTTCAAAATGAGGGGGAAGATAAGTTCCTGGTTAGGGCCTAGAGAGAAGGAGCGACCTGTTTCACCATATGCCAGATGGCTCTCTGCCACCTCATATTGCTGGCGTAACAGCTGTCCAGTCAATATTTATTTAAATTTTAGAAAATCTATACAGATTCCTAGTGTATAACTTAAAGATTGTTCTGCCTTTGGCTAATTAAATAATGCCCTCACAACACTAAAGACAGCACAGTGCTCTAACTCGAGAAAGTCAATAATGCCTCCGGCTGGGCTCGTTTAGGACCTGTGGAAAGCACTCACGGAGCCCGGTGCCTGCTGCTATTTCCCAGCGTGTGAGCTTTTCTCTTTCTACACTGAAGTATCTTCTATTTTTAATGTGGTTTATTTGTGACTCAGAATGGTGGCTGTGATGAAATATTCATCTGTGAGAAAAGGAAGTAGCTACAATATCCTTTTGAAAGGACCATGAGCTATATAAAAAGCCATAGAAGTGGTTTCATTTATGTGTCAGGGGTGTCTCTTGATTATGTTAACATTGTTTTTAAGATAAGGTGATGTTCTTTTCTGCTTATAGGGTTAAAATCAAAGAGATTTTTTTTTGTCATTATAGATCATAGTTATAATGTAAATTATACTTGCTGACCCAATGTGTAACAAAATCCCATATAATAAGTTAGTAAGAAAAGCAATAATTTTCTAAAGCTGTGACATGGGTAATACGGAGTTGCTGCTCAAAATCTAATAAAGCTCTTATCATATTATGAGTCACAGAACACTACTTTTTATAAAGCCATAATTTTTTTTTGCTGGGGGGTGGAATTTAGGAGTGACAGAACAGATTAAAATAAGTTCTACTGAATTTTTGTATATAATCACCTCTGGAATAGAAGATTCCTTATGCTGTGGTCAACTTCAAATACTTTTTAATTCTGAATTAATGAGCCTTGTCATTACAAATATACGCCAAGCTGGGCAACATCAATGGATTTTCTAAAAATAATGTAAATGTCTTCTGTTTAATGTTACTTGAGGACAATAAAATGCCGAAGAATTCTTCTCTATATTGTCATTATTCTGAAGTATATTATTTTTATTTGTTACATAATAAAATCAATTCATTTCATACTCACTAGTATTTTAGAATATTATGTCATTTTCGATGACTGTGATCACAAAGGAGTACTTTCAACACCTTTCTTAATTTATTTCTAATAGGTAACATTTATTTTGTTTAATATTTATTATGCTATATTCCTAGGGACAGGGTTACAATGAAGTAGTCCTTGTATCTGTCCTTTTTAAATTTTTGTTCAGAAGACTTGAAACTAAGCATGAACAGCCCTGGCTTGTGTGGTTCAGTGGATTGAGTGCCGGCCTGTGAACCAAAGGGTCACTGGTTCAGTTCCCAGTCAGAGCACATGCCTGGGTTGCAGGCCAGGTCCCCAGTTGGGGGCACATAAGAGGCAACCACAGATTGCTGTTTCTCTCCCTCCCTTCCCCTCTTTCTAAAAATAAACAAAATCTTAAAAAAAGGGATGGAGGAAGGGAGGAAGGAAAGAAAGGAAGAAAGAAAGAAAGAAAGAAAAAGGGAAGGAATGAAAGAAGGAAAGAAAGAAAGAAAGAAGGAAGAAAGAGAAAGAAAGAAAGGAAAGAAACTAAGCGGGAACGGACTTACTAACTGCACTTATTCTAAGTGCTTCGTGTTAGGGAGTTGAGTTTTCCCAGCAGATGAGTGTCATCTTTGCTTGCAGGCAAGGAAACTGAGGGTCAGAGAGGCCAAAACGCCTGCCAGCCTGAGGTCATTTAGGGTACTCTAGAGCGAACACGTGAGCACCAGGGAATGCTTACTGAGGGATGGGCAGGAGTTGCTGATACCACTAGAAAGAGAGTTCCTTGACATTTTGGACACTTTTCTTCAATCCTGTATCCCTGATGGCTATGACACTGCTTCCTATTAAATAATGTACCACCTAACATTATGACAAGGCAGTTACAGTTAATAAGATCAAGAAGTCATTTTTTGTTTTGTTTCATTTTAATGTTCTGGATACCTCCTTGTAGTACTGGTCAAAAAGTGGGTGGCAGTCAAATTTATAAAACCCACTCTTTGCAAAAGTCAAGACCTGCATTTCTCTAGTATTTCTTTCCCAAGAAAGGTACAGAAAGGCACAGTAGGAAGATCATATGCTTTGAAGTGATGTAAACCACTGACCTTGACACTACTTTCTTAGCCTCTGCCTCCTCCTTTGCACAGAGGAGGAAATAAGACCTTTCCCCATAGGGTGTCAGGGACAAGAGACAAATAAGGCATGCTTACGTTAAGCTGGCACACTAGCTTTCGAAGTTGGTTCCCATCTTCTCACCTAGGGTCTCAAAGGAGAAAAATGCTTGACCTATAAAAATCTCTTCCTTACATCAGAAGACTGTGTCATATTTACTTCTCACCTCCAAAACGTGAAATGTTTTCTGTGAACGAATGTGGGAAACTTGGGACCAAAAAACCGAGTGATCTGTGATTGCCTCCCTGCTCCCAGCTGGGATGGCACCCACACCCTCTCATGTCTACTGTGGGGACGGACGGATCCTGTGATTTGTATGTGTCCCAAACTCCCCGTCCTTCCTGCAACACATATGCATATACACATGTTCCTAGAAATACCCCAACCTGGATGGGTACCTACCAGGACTATAATCGACTGGTCTGCTTCGAAAATTCACTAGATCCTAATCTGTATGAAACAACAAGCCAGATGTAAGGTTTTAAATGCAGAGTTTGGTTATAAACACATAGTCGGGTCATGGTTCTGTTGTCATCGCTGGGGAACGGATGTTCTTTGGCCAGTCCAGGTTCTTGGTGGGTTCCACTGTGCATGGTAAGCCCATTTCTGGGAGGGACACTAACTTCAATTAACTTAGTGAAAGACTGACACAGGTGGCGGTCTCAGGCCCACCGCAGCTCCTCACAGGTGAGCTACATACAGCACACCTGGGCTCATAACCCAGGTGTGAATCAAGTGCTTAGAGAAGTGAGACGAGTGCTCTCGGTACGGTGACATAATGCAGTCCTTGAAAGCACACCGTGCCTAGTATAGTCTTATGTTTTTAGGAGACAAAATACTGAGTAAGCTTGGATGAAGGCTTCTACCTACCCCAATTTGCCTTGGTACTCACAGGGGCGCTTAGAGGTGGCAGAGATAATCCACATCAACTCTCTTTTAAATGAGAAACATGTGGCCAGGCACCTGATGCCTAGTTACCACTTGATGACTTTTATAACTAATTCAAATGAGTCTAGTCTTAATAGTTTATAACAAGTTTCAAGTGTAAAAAATTCAGGATTTTTGGAAAATGGGAACGTTTGCCCAGAAATATTTTTTAAATTATATCAACTTGAATTCATTTAAATATGGCCCTACATTTGGAGACAGTGAATGGTGACTTTCATAGTACTTATTTTGTTTTGTATTTACTTTCCAGAAACAAATAGGAAAACAGATGATCCAGAACAAAAAGAAAAAGGTGAGAGCATCAAATAAACAGCCTTTCAAATATACTTCTATGAACAACATGAGGATTTTATTTTATATCACTAGCTAAAATAAATTGCCACTGAATTTATTCTTTCAATGATTCCTTCAACAAATTTTTTATCGATAGTCTACATAAACATTTAGAGCTAAGGCTGTGGAAAGAGATTTCCTGGCTTCTAATCGCAGTTTTGGTGTTCACTTGATATGAGTCCTAGAGAATCACATAACCTCTGTGCCTCAGTTTCCTCTTCTGTAATATAGGAATAATAATAGTACCAACTTCAGAAACCATATGGCTTTTGTTTCTTAGTAGTAATTAAGTGATAATACATGTAAAGTGTTTAAAGCAGTGTCTAGCACAAAGCCCTTAGAAAATGTTATTATTTATTGTCACCTATGTTGGCAACTGTGCTAGATATAAAGGTCCAAAGACTACTAGAATGCATTATCTTTTTTCAAAGGATGCCAGACTGTTGGAAAGACATGCAAACAAAGTTATATCCACATAGAGGGGAGTTTATTACAAAGGCATTCTAAGAACTTCAACAACCCAGTACAATTTTAATTCAACTCCCATAAAGATTCCTAAACTTAGAGTGAGAAGCTATTTTTAAAGTTAAAAAATTATATGGATGATTGTACTTTTAGCATCAATGAAATGATAAAATCCTCAATAATTAAACATTATTACAATTTCAGGAATGCCTTTAATTTGTAGTGATGAAAGCAGTGTCTACATTGAAAAGATACAGGACATATAATGTATAAGGCCAAAGCTGCTCAGTATGTAAATAACACTTTAATAAGCTATGTGGAGTTGCTGTCCTCCGGCCATAAGTTTATAGCCCTTAGGCTGGGAACTGAATATCTAGCTCATGCATTTTTTTTTTTTTCCTGACTGGTTGTTTTCAATTTTTTATCAAAGTTACATGGAGATAATAGTTTTAAAAGTTATGACTTAAAAGCAGAAGGCGTCTACCCTACTACCCTCTGTCTACAAGTCCCATTCCCAATTTTCTTTAGCTGTTTCTTCTAGTACCTACCTACTCATGTCTCAGTAGCTTGTTTCTGCATTTTCTCCTCACTGTTGGAAACTGTTGGTTGATTTTTGTGTATGGATGCTCTCCATGCTGCCTTGCCTTGCCAATCCCCAAACTTCCCATATATTCATAGCATACTGTTAGATAGTGATAAGCGCTAGCGGGGGGAAAACAAAGTAGGGAGGAGGGTATCCACAGCTCTGATAGAACTCATCACTTCTGCTACCCCGATGCTTCCTTCACTTGGCCTGCTGGATACCACGTGCTCTTGGCTTTTCTCCGACTCTGAACTCTGCTTTTTCTCAGCCTCTCTGGTTGGATACTCCCTGACCACTGGACACTGGAGTGTCCCAGAACTCAGTCCTCAGAGAGTTTCTACACAGCCTCTCAGTGATCTCAACTAATCTCATGGCTTTAAATATTTCAGTCTGTCAAAGATTTCCACATTTACCTGCAGCTTGGGTCTCTTCCCTGAACTCCGGACTGGAATATCGAGCTGTCTACCTGACGTCTACCTGACAACCTCAACTGAATGTCTGATCATCACTTCAGACTTACATGTAAAACTGAACTCAAGACCCCCTTCAACCCACTCCTCTCATGAATCTTCTCTTTCACGCCTCCCTGTATTTCCAATAGCCAATTCTGTCAGGTCTCTCCAGAACATGTCCAGAAGCCAGCTACTTCCTGCCACCTTCACCCACTATCACTCAGGTTCCAGCCACCACTTTCTCTTGTCTGGGTTATTTCCGTTGCCTCCTAACTGGTCTTCCCGCTTCCACCTTCATCTCTATCATCTTTCTCAGTACTGCGGCCTCAGTGACGCTTTGAAAACTAAGTTGTATGATGTGGCTTAGATGCCTCCAGCATCTTCATATCTTCCTGAAAGTAAAATCAACGTTCTCTGCAGTGGTTTACAAGGCTGCACACAGTCTGTCCTCTCTTTTCTTCAGTTTCCTCCACAACCTCATGTCCTTGTGCTTTCTCTTTGCTGACTCTACTACAGCTGCACTGTCTTCCCTGCCGGGTGCACACGGGACTCGGGCCCTTTGCACTGGCCATTCCTTCCAGCCTGAATTTGTCGCCCTGGGTACCCACCCAGCTTGCTGCTTTACTCTTTGCTCACCTGTTGCCTTCTCAGGGAGCCTCCTACTCATCTTACGTCAGATCACAACCCTCTTACGCTCCAGTCTGTTGCCTTGCTTTGTGTTCTCTTTGCAGTGACCACCATGCGATTGTATTTGATAGTTTCATTTTTTAGTGTTTATTTCCCAAACTTTCCACTGGAATCAAGTTTTCATGAAAAACACATTTTTGTCTGTTTTTCACACTGTTGTATTTCCTGTGCCTGGCGTATAGTAGATACTCAGTAAGTAATTGTTGAATGAATTTCTATTATTTCTTAATTACTAATAATTAATATGAACAGACATTAAAGGCTCTATAAAACCCAAACTGTAGGAGTGAAAACCAGACCCAGACAGCACACCTAGCATGGAAATCTATGGCAGACCCAAGACATCAGTGACCCTGGGGTAGGAAGACTCTGCTGTTGTCATCCATCAGGAAAACAGAGCAATTATGCCATCTCTTCTGTGATCTAATATGTCTAAGCTCAGTGAAGACATGGAATCATCAGACTTACCTCTTTGGAGCACAGAACTAATAAGGGAAAGAAAACCTGTATTTAAAAACACTTTAGCCTTCAGGACTTTTTGGGTTTTGGGTTTTTGTTTGTTTGTTTGTTTGTTTTGGTCTAGAACTGAGGATAATGATTCTCATGCCTCATAGGGTATACTTCATTGTAGAAGAATAAAATGAAAATAATATTTGTAAGGAATAAATGCAATCTGCTACTATCATCATTATCCTAACCTCAGCTTGCTACTATTATTATCCAAATATCTGAACTTGCAATTGCTTTTTATTAGTAATTAAATTGGTTGATTTGGAGATCTAACTTAGATAAGTTAAAACAAGACCTTTAAAAGATACACATATACCATCATTATCAATTATAAAAGCAAAAGACAATTTAAGAATAAAAGACAGCTTTTGAAATTGAATAAATGTATCTTTACAAAAAACTCACTAAAAGACCCCCATCACTCAGTTTTCCTTGGACCAGTAAACATTTCCTCATATGGCTTTAAGGCACAGACCACTGATGTCATAAACTGAGGCTGCTCTTTGGGACCACGTTTACCCAAGTCTCACTCTGTAATCCCAGACACCATCCCAGTGTGTAACAGAGAAGAGACAAAATGAATCCTCTTCATCCTCTTCTTCTTGTTCTTCTGTCCTACATTGACTAAGGAAATAAACACTTTTCAAGAAAATCCTGGTTTTCTTAACAGCCCCTATTTTTACCCTTCTCTTCATTGTGTCTTCAGGAGCTGAGTAACATATCCGATTCAGACCTTCCCTACCAGTCCCCACATTCCTGTTACAGTTAAATTCAGTTACATATAATTTCCTAAAACCACAAATTTTATTGGCTTAAATAAGATAGTTTATTTCTTACCCGCATAAATAACCCAGGACCAGTTCAGTGGCTTGTCAGGGACGCAGCTCCTCTCTTGCCATTCTGCCCTTCTCGGTTCATAACCTCATGTTCCAAAAGGGTTGTTCGAGCGCCAGTCGTTACAGCCACATCCAGATAATAGGACGGCTTCTTAGAAGAACTACATTTAACTGACAGAATCTTGTTAATGCCAAAATTCAGGGTTCTGTTTCTGAAGAAGGGAATATCAAATGTGGCGAGGAAGCAGCTATTTGCAGTCTTAAGCATGATGTATTTAATGCCTTGTTAATAAGATGTACTCTACCACCGTATTGCAGGAGAACGGTTACTGTTCTGTACTAAAAAGTTCCGCAGGTCATCAGAATATATTTATAAAAAAACTATCAATTTCTCATCATTCAAAAAAAAATTGCTCACTTAATTGATCCACTTAAATACTTGTATGCCTACTGCATGCCTAGCACTAGGCATGTGGACACAGTAAGAGTAGGACAGACAAGGTTCCTGCCTTCAGGGCATGCACATTTCACTAGGGAGTTGGGGCCACACAAACTGAACTAGTGATCATGCTTTGAAGGAAACAAAACAGGAGGGTGTGGAGAGAGAGAGGAGGTACGGGGAGAAGTCCCCTGAGGAGGATATTGATGTGTTAAGGTGGCTGTCTGCATGAACTCTCAGCTAAGAGCACTCTGAGCAGAGGAACAGTGTGCACAGGCTTCGAGGTGGGCACCCTGAATAAGCCCAAGAGTGTGTGCGATGCAGGTGGAGAAGTCAGGGGCCATGGGAGGGAGTCTGGAGATTTCTCTTCATGCAGTGGGATGCCACACCCAGCCCATGCAAGTGTCTTTGCAGAGTAGGGTCTTTCTCATTCACACACTGACTGGTTTGCTTCTGGGTGGATTTGTGGGCATCATTCACCGCAGATGGTGAACACGTGCAAACCTGTCCTAGACTGCCGCTCACGGCCTTATTGGGAGCCATGCTGCGGCTCCATTTCATCCTGGGGGCTGTGCCTCCCTGCGCACTGCCCACCGTACCCTGCACAGCTTTACCCTCCAGGGGTTCTGATCTTAAAGGAGTCTTCCAATAGAGTGCAGCTGGGCTCCCCTGGTTATTTCTTCGTGGGAACAGTAGGATCAGTGCAGCAGCTTCTCTTGATTGGTTCATTGCTCTCCATCCTGTAAAACTGACAGTTTATATCAGTACCGACCAAAGATGTTTGTGATGAAAGTATTTTATTGAGTGTTAAATGCAGTAATAAATGTTACTATGGACTTTCTGAAAACCCTATTTGAGCAAATTGTCAGCTTTGGGAATTTCATTTATTTTTTTTACTCAAATTTGATGCTGTTAACTGATAGGGAAAAAGGAAAGGGAAATACTTCATTTTTGGAATATGTAATGGAAAACTTGAATGTGTTTTGT